ATAGGAAGATTATTAGAAATTTTTACGGTTGTAAGGTGGGGTTTAGGATGAAATAAATTCAGCTGCCATTTTGGTTGACAACTTTTAATGGAGAACAAACGGGCTGGCATGAAAACAAACCTGTATTGAGAATTCTGGGGCAAATTGTACCACATCTTTTGGAGAAGAAGCTTAAAGGCAGATCTTTTTTTCTTATAACAAGCACATTTTAGCTTTTAAAAGAGCTACAGCAGGTAAGTGAGGCATTTTCTTCTTGCATTCATTGCCGACTTCCTTAACAAACTTTCCAACGAAAATGACAGCCAATTATGACATGTGGGCAGATATCGTATATAAAATTAATGAAGTTCATTTCCAATTCTCACTTCCAGTGGTCTATAATTAGTTTTTAAGTCAGTATAGTTTTTAAATTCGTAAATTTTTTATTCATGCATTAAATAATGCAAGCAATGACATATTCCACTTTTACAGTACTTCTGACTATTAAAGCTGTTAGTTTTGTAGTTTTGAATTTACATGTATGCTATTTTTATGATAATTAGAATGTCATGAAAAGCTATCAGTATTGTTCATGGTGGTGGACGAAACTCTGGATGCTATATTTGGAGATGTTGGTACTTAATAGAATAATTATTCATGAAATGATTTATTTTATTATGCTACTAATGTTTAGAATTGTACCTAGAAATTTCTTTAATTGTAGCTAGAAATTACTGTCGCCCAAAATTTTTGTGAATTTTGCAGATTTTATTTTAGCAAAATCACCATGCCTTTCAATGTGTACTGATTTTAAAGGATTAAGTTTTCACAGTTTTCGAAATCTGCATAATTAGCAGAAATTTTGGGCCACAGAAATATCTAGCTCCATGTGTATGGCATTTGCAATGAAAGGTTTATTTTTAACTTCTTATCTCTGTTAAACAGATAACATTTCCCCAAGACTAGATATATTATCAACTCTTTATTTCCCTTGGCACTACTTAATGTGACACCAGTATATTTCCAGGTCAGTAAAAACTATTATTGCTGTATAAAATTTGTTTTCGTTATCTGTAGAATGACATTCCTGTCGAATTATTTTTAGAGATGAAAGTAGGCTACAAAGTTCTTTGTAAACATTAATGCAAAGTACATGTACTTTTTACATTTATTATTAATATTGCTTATTCCTTGTAGACTCAACAGAGTAACCTGAAATCAAATGTGTGGCTAAACAAGCATTTATTCATGTTTGAACTGTTTTTTTTTACATTTTTGTTTGAGTTATGAACATTATAAATTGAAGTACAATTTAGTCAGTACTGCGCATGCGCAGATTTTGCCCACGCAAATAATTGGATCCATTCCTGTCTTTAACGGCATGTGTGCTCAGTTCTGCCGCCATCTTTAAGGAATGCAATTATTAGTGAATATGAATGACAGAATGAGCCACGCCCTTATCCAGCCCCACCCTAACCTTTCTGCAAACTAAAAGTAAACAATGGCGACTAAGAGCAGCAACTATTCCTCTCCTCCTTCTCTCTTCTCTTCTCCTTTGACTATTGGTAGGTAATATCCATTATAGGTACTAGATCTTTAATAATTATGATTTAGATCAACTTATTGATGTTGTTGATCTGTTGGAGAGAGGTGGTTTCCCTCAGACAAGATGGAGGGCACTAGGACTAAGACTAGGACTACACAAGAAAACACTGGACGCCATTAAAAGGGACAATGATACAACAGATGATTGCTTAACTGAATGTCTCTCCCAGTGGTTGTCCAGAGCTGATAGTGTTGACAATAAAGGAGGAGCTACCTTTGACTCACTGTCAGATGCTCTTAAATCTATGAATGAGAATGCTGCAGCTGACAAGTTAGATCAAGAGAGTAAGTTAATATCACTGATTGTATTAGTATTGACTGTGTGTGTGTATTCTATAGAACGTAATGCTATGATCAGTGGTAATGATATCAAAGGAACCAATGATGTACACAGTACTGCTACTGGTGAGTGTTACATTACTGGACTATATATAGTATATACTATTATAATAATAATTGATTATTAAGAATATTATCATGATTCATAGATTAGTATACCATATACAGATACAATAAATTATTTTAAATAGATGAATATAACTTTATTTTTAATTGTAAATATTTAATTTAGAAGCTATTGCATCTATTTTTTGTTTTTCGTCAACAATAGAACCAGTTCCTCCTACAGGTACAAACAAGCCCTTGATAGGAGGTCCTCCACTCTCTCCTATTGCATTAATGGATATACCAGATGATAGACCGACAGTATCTGAATTAGTAGAGTTTCATGAGTTATTGATCAAAGGACAACTGGAGAAGTCTCTACCACTGCTTGATGCTGATACTATAAGAAAGATTAGAAATGCTGCTACTACTGATGAAGGAATGTCTCTTCTTAGACAAGCATTTGAAGAACATCCAACACTGTTACATGAAATGAGAGCAGCTACTGAAAAAATAAAAGGTATAAATGTACAAAAATGCATTAATTAGCTAATATAATCAGTGTAATAATTCAAGCAATAATTCAGTGTTAATAGCAATTAATATTAATAGGTTCATCACAAAAGATGCCAAAGTCTCCTCCCCCAGTAGCACCCAAACCACGTCGACCATCAATAACTAATAAGCCTCCACCAACTGCACCTAAGCCAAGTCAATCTC